TATACTTAAATATCATTGCTGCTGTATATAGATGAGGTTTTTGTCCTATCCGAAAGAGAATTGGTTGAGAGATTTAGCCACTTAACTTAATAGCACAGCTGGTGGAACTCCAGGGGGTCTTGGTTAAAGCTTTAGTTGGGTCATTATTTTCTGCCTTCACCAAAGCAATTCAGTTTGTGAAGAGGAATGAATAAACAAATAAAGACCAAAGCCCGAATACAGAATTAAAATAGAGGATTTTAAAATATATAAGCAGTAGAACAAACATCTCTAGTCTCAACAAATTCGGCATCCTTAGCAGCCTTTTCAGTAGAAGACAAATGTGCAAAGATGACAAGCTGTGTGAGAGTTATTTCACCAAAGAAGCGTTTTTAAAGCATCTTTAGTTGAATTTATGCAAAAAGCTGTGTCAGCAAGATGCAAATCTTAGCAATCATTATTTAAATGTTCAGGGTGCCGAACAAAAAGTTTGTTATTGTAGCCCAGTGAATTTTTATTGGTTTACTACTACCCAAAAATGCCCACTAGAACAGCTTGAAGTTTATGTTAGCTAATAAAATTGCTTGCCAAAAATCCTTAATTTCTGTGGCTGCTGTACCAGCAAAAATAAAATAACTGGAAAGCAAAGGTGGAGGAGAGCAGGGGGAGGTGTCAGTAAGGTTGAAAGTGATGAGTCAGGGTTTGCATTGACCTGGTTTTTCTTCCCATAGACATTTATAGCCTCATCTTCCCTGATTTTAAAATTCAGAAATTGACATTTTGTGAAATGGTTGATGGTGTACTATTAGGGACTTAATTAAGAGAGCACCTGCCTTCGTTTCCCACTGTTTCTTGGATTCTTTTGCAATTGATTTTATAATATACCTTATCTATCCGATGAGACAAATGCTCTATTAATGCAAATGTTTAAAAGATAATGTTTTGCTAATGATCTAATCTGTCTTCCATAAATATCATTTAAGGTAACTTATATTCTGAGGAGATAAACTCTTTTGAAAGTTTGTAGCTACAGTATTTCACAACTGGCCAATCCCTCTGAACTTGCTGTTAGAATTGCTTTTTTTTCCTGTGATATTTAAGCTTTCAACATTTAACAGTCTTTTTGCATCAAAATTCATTATTGTAGAAGCACCCTGTGTTTGTTATCAGTATCTTCTCATTCACCAGATTGTTCAGATTTGATTACTGATAATGTACACTTAATAATAGTGTAAATGTTAGAATATATTTATTAGCCTCATGTTTTTGTTAGTCCAAAAAGGACTGTCATTATGTGCCAACAGATTCAGTAGCAAATCAAAAATTGTCACTGAAACATGTAAGATATTATATTTGTAAGAGGCTGTGACTGTAGTTGGCAGATCAAAATAGCTTTTTATATTGAAGTGCTTTCTTGCAAATAGTGTTGCTTAGCAAAAATATTTATGTGAAATATTAGGACTCTTAATTATTCAGAATGTTTTCACTTCCATTTTCCATAGTTTTTTCCCTGTTGTTTTATAACTTTATAAATTCAGACCTCAGGGAACTCTGCTTTATTAGCAGAGCTCTGAGAGAAGTTATATATGAACAACTGATTTATGCAGAGAGAGTGATAAATCTGTGAAATATAACTTTTTATTAGGATTAAAACACAATATTACTGAAACATTAATTAAGATAATCCTGCTTTTGGCCACAATAGTTCTAGTGACTTCTATGACTTTCCTTTCGTAGCTTAATTCTCCAAGTGCTCATGTTTTGTTTAAGGCATGTGTGAAAAATAGCTTTCTCAAAAATGGATTAGGATTAAAACTTCTATACTAATGCTCTGATAGTGGAGGAGCTTTGTCAAAGACAGATCATGTTCTGTCTATGCTGTTTAAATTAGCATCCACCGTTGTATAGGTGTTAGGAGTTCTGCTGAAGACCAGGCCAATTTATGGAACACAGAGATGGCCCTAACTAATGCTCCTAAATACAACTAGTTATAACAGAACTCAAGAGACATCTTGATGTACTAGCAAGATGAATGTAATGAAATTAGTAAGGAAAGGGCTGTAGTGGAGGAATGTAACATAATCCATAATGTAGAGGGAAATTCAGAAGAAGGAATTTTCAGGAAGGATTAAATCAAACATGGAGTTTGATTTACTTTAAGTGGCTTAGTACTGGTGACAGCAATTAAACCGGGCAAATTTCTTTACTTCAATTGAGTCTGCAGTGAACAAGGTAGTGATGCTTTTTCACTTTGTATGGCGTCTCCAGGATAGAATCAAGAAATGTTGGAACAATTTTCAACATGTTTTTCAAATGAAATTGATCAGATTTGCAGCTATTTCATTTCCAGTGTTGAGATAGGTCATAGGATACCTTGACAAGATAACCTTGATAACTGTTTATCCTGTTCATATGGAAAGGTTTTCAGCTTTTATTTCTTGAGGAATTTGTCAGAATACATGGAGAGCTAAAGACCACCTTCCAGTTGCTCAGACTTTGCCATTAAATTGGCCAGGTTTTAAGTTGTCCCTGTGGCCATTGAAGGAATTGTTCAGTGTCTCCTTAATTTTTAAAAAGGTCCTGGCTGACTACTCTTAAATAATTATTTTCTTAGATGTGGTGATTGAGAAAGTGGTGGCCATTACTGAGATAGTTTTGGTCACCCTGATGTAGATTTTGTTAGTAGGACCCTGTTAGCTGGGACACTGATGCTTAACATCTAAATTACTGGAATAGTGCCTGTCCTCTAGAACAGGGGGTCGCCAACCTTTTGGACTTCAGGGACCACCAAACTCATAATTTTAGATCCCAGGAACCACTAACTGGTTCTGTGGGTGTGGCCTAATTTATGGGCTTGGTGGTCATGTGACTGGCTGGGCATGCCTTGTATGTAAATACTATAAATATTTATATAAATATTGAATTTTTTATAAAAAAGAGCAACTTTTACCTAAAATCAGGCACAGCAGGCAGGCAGATTGAGTTATTCACAGAATCACAGATTCATTCAGAAATCTCTATCGGCCATTGGCTAGCTCAGTCTGTCACATAAAATTTGCTTGCAAGCAAACTCACAAAATTAACTCACAACACACCATGCATGTAAATATTGATTTTTTTTATAAAAAAAGAGCAACTTTTACCCAAAATCAGGCAAAGTAGGCAGACTAAGTTGCTCACAGAATCATTCAATGATCTATCTATCTGCCATCGGCTAGCTCAGTCTCTCAAATTTGCTTGCCGTGAGTCTGCACTGAATTTGCTTGCAAGCAAACCTTCAGTCCGAAGGGAGGTTCGGCTGTATTTAAAAGCAGAGCCGAAGATCTAAAGACCAACTATAAAGCAAGAAATCCAACCATTTTCTGCTTCCTAGCGAATCTAAATCTCCCGGCACAGCAGAACAGATGATGGCCGGAAAAAGGAAAAATAGAAATTCAGCACGCAAGTTTGCTGGGTAAGGAGTGAGTGGGTGTGGAGGGTTCCCGTGGGCCATGTGGGCGGCGCAGCCTTGTGTTTCTGTGCAGCTGGATTAATTGCTTGAGGGGGATGCTCTGGGAGTGAGATTTCTCTGCGGCCCACCAAAATTTTCTCATGGCCCACTAGTGGGCCGTGGCCGATCGGTTGGCGACCGCTGCTCTAGAACGCTTCATGGCCATTGTTTCATCTGTCATGTACATGGAACATTGGATTCACCTATAAGGCTTCCAGGCTGTACACTCCCCAAGAAAGTGTGTTTGATTCCTTCTTTCCCTGTATTTGGGAAAGTCACAACAGGATGACCTTTTCCTTTATTTCAATGCTATTGTACTGATGTTGGTTTTAAATTTTGATTTCCATTATATTGCCTTTACAGTTATGTTTTATATGTGGTGCTTTTTAAAATGTGTGTAAATCACATTGAGGATACAGATAAATTGAAAAGAGAAGTATAAATTCAGTAATAAAACCAGTAGTGAGATGAAGACAGCAGATCAAATGTAATTTTTTTCCTACTGACAATGCATCAACTCAGTCATAAGTGATATAAAAATATCTCCAGAATATATTTAATCGGTCAGACCAGAGTGCTTGTGTGCATTGCATTTGATCGGTGATAGATTGAATGAATTCAAATGGCCAAAAGTATTTTCAGAGTTGAGGAGAACTCTCTGTATAATTTTTCTGTGGTAAATTACAATATTTGACTAAAATGTAAAATTAATATTCATATTTCTTAACATTAATCAAAGAACTTTGGATTTTTTTTGTTTCTAGCACTATATTTAAAGCAGGAATGAGCATCATTTTTTGAGCTGGGGGTATTCACTGGTCTTGTATTCTGGTAGGAGGACAAAAACAGGCAAAACTAGCAGTAGTTGTGACATGATGCAAAGGTCTATCCAAATTCATATGGAGGTAGCAAAACCATGATCTTCTCCATATGAATTGTTAATATATGGTTGAGATTCTCCCTTTAATCATGCCCCAAAAAACAAAAAATAAATGAATGAAACAGATGAATGTGGTTTTTGTTTTTTGTTTTTTGGTAATAACAGCAGACCCAACTCCCAAAATAGTGAATAGGGCAAAAATGGCACTTTCTTAGTTACAGAGGCAGAAAATGAACAAAGGATTCCAGAAGAATTTTAGAAATGTCTGTTGTGTCATATTCTGAAAGATTGTCATATTTCTCATGCAGGTTAAAAGGGATTTGCAAAAAATACGTTTGAGAAATTGCCATTAAGTATAATTAGAATTTCCTGTCTTCTCATCTAATTTTATTTTAATATTTATTAATCACCTTTGTATTGTCTTATTTGTGCAGATGTGATAAAGTCCAAAGTAGCATTACTACTGTAGTTATAATGCCATGTTTAGCTACTTGGGACGCCAAGATTTAAATGCTTCTATAACTCATGCTGTAACTCAAATGTCATGAGATACAAAACAAAGTATTAACAACATTCAATGTTTACCTTAATTTAAGTTAACGAATATGGAGGTCCCTAATTTTTCTCTCTATCATGTCTGCTTAACTTTAGGTTTTATGACAAGCATTCAAAGAAACCCTCAATTGTCACAATATGCATCTCAGCAGACTGGACCTTCTATGTCACCCCATCCTTCACCTGGAGGTCAAATGCATTCTGGAATTGGGAGCTTTCCACAAAGTAATTCAAGTGGTGCTTATGGAACTCAGATGAGCCAGTATGGGCCACAAGGTAAAATAATTAACATTAATCAATTTTCTACAACTTATTCTATAGAAAAATGTGTTACAGGTAGTCCTCAACTTACAACAGTCCATTTAATGACCATTCAGAGTTACAATGGTACTGAAAAAAGTGACTTATGACTGTTTTTCACATGATCATTGTAGCATCCCCATGGTTACGTGACCAAAATTCAGATGCCTGGCAAGTGATTCTTATTTATGATGGTTGCAGTGACTCTGGGGTCATATGAACACCTTTTGTGACCATCTGACCAGCAAAGTCAATGGGGAAGCCAGATTCAACAGCTATGTTACTAACTTAATGGTTGCAGTGATTCACTTAACAACTTTGGGAACAAAAGTCACAAAATGGGGCAAAATTCACTTAACTGACTCACTTAGCAACAAAAATTTTGGACTCAATTCTGGGCCATAAGTTGAGGAATACCTGTATATGCCAAAGATGGTGGTCATATCTTTTCTTTTTATACATATTCTAGCTTTTTATTTTTGACCATGTTGGAAAATAATCGTTTAAAACATGCTTAGCTTTTCCATTTTTTTCCTTTAAAATCCTAGCACAATGCAATAACGTGTATTTTTGAGAATGTCCTTTCATTTTTTTCCTGCAATATCATTATTAAAAGTGTTAGTACAAAGGAATACTAATATGTACATACTATCCCAACTTTTGTTTATTAAAAGCTGATTGGAAATACATCAGAATTTGCATATTCTGAGTTAGGGCAAAATGTTTTCCTCTCTCTCTTTTTTTGGAAAAGTGATCATAGTTGCAATTGCCTATCTTAATAAAGTCACCTAACATAAGTATCCCTCAGGGGATGGGTAAAGAACAAGTTCCTAAGTCTTTCCTCTTTCCTTATTCTTAACTATTGTTTATATGGTCTGATGTAGGAGTAGTTTGGCACAGGTGTTTGGCATTTGACACAGGTGTTTTTAGGATTTCAGCATCTCCAGTTTGATACTGACTCCCTTACAATCTGCGCTCAGAAGTTACAGTTTCATACTGTTTGACATTGCCCTGGAATTTCACCATGGTTATTATGGATAATTGTGACACAGATAGCTTGCAGTTGCTCCAACCAATAGATCTACCAGAGTGACAGGAGTATAACCCAACAGCAGGCTGTGGTCCAGAAACAAAATGCTTCTTTGACAAACATGGGAACAAAATCAGGTAGAACTAAAACTGCTGTTTCAAATCTTGATACAGTACCATTTTCTCCAAAAGGTTTTTTTGATAAACCATTCCTGTTTATTGTTATGTTAAAATGCAAAATAGTGTTGTGATAAATTCTTATCAATCTTCCACACTCAACAGTAGCTTTCACATTTTGCATCAATTTTTTTTTTATTCTGGAGAACATCTTGTGATGGACCTGTCCCCAGTAGGTAAGACATTAGAGGAGAAAATTTTGTATTGTATTATTGTGCCTTTCACAGCTATATGTATAAGATACCAGTTCAGACTCATCAAGTTAAGGATGTTAATATTTTTGGATAGATTATATCATGCATATATCTGAGTCTTATTGGATGATCAGTATTAGTTTAGCTCTTAATACATAAATACAAAAATTGGCAATGATACAACTCAACCTTCCAAAATGTGCCTAATTTTTCCTACAGAGCAACTAATGCAACTTAAGAGATAGTCCTGGCTTAGATCCATGTGAAAGTAACAACCAGCAAACTGAATGAGGAGCCTTCTTTTGAAATGATTCTTTAAAATTTATTTCTGGCACAGATGGTTCAATTTATTCAGTTCATTGGCAATTGAAAAAAAAATATTGTGCTTTGGCTTCTCAGCCAAGCAGCAGTTCCTGACTGACTTAGGCTTGGAACTAAGCAGGATTGGATCCAAATTAGTATTTGGAAGAGAGATCTCTTGGGAATATCAACATTTGTAGGCTAGATGGGAAGCTGAAAAAGAATCCCACAAGGTAGTGACAAATCCTTCTATATTGTTATTAAGGGAAAATATATGACTATCTCCACAAAGTCACTATGAATCAAGCTCAGTTTGAAGAAGACTTGCAGTGATTCTGCAGCTTTCATTTACCTTGACATCATAAATTAGATCATTCTTTGCGTGTGGATCAGGGTGATACCAGCTTATTTTTACCCTAGCAGATGATAGAATATTCTGAACAATTACTATAACATCATCTCATAAAGCTAAGGGCTGCCTGAAATTGTAAGTAATCTGTTATACAGTGAAACAGCCAAGTGCTCAGCTCACAATTTTTCAGTTCCATTGTTGAATGTTACATTTTGCAACTTTGTGTTGCTATCTGCTCAACTTTAAAGGTTTTCTATGCCCTTATTTTCATCATATCAACTTTACTAGAATAAAGCAGCTCTCTGCTGTTAGCATATATAATACGAAAGAGATTGACTAACATATTTCAGTGAGATTGTGTGATATGCATGGTTGTGATGGAGATCAAGAACATTAAACAGATTAGAAAGTCAATTATTTATTAAACTTGTGTGTCATCCAACTTTCAACTGTGGGTGACTCACAACAATCAAAGTACTTTGTAATAAAATCAATAATATATACACTACTGAAACAGTTATCCTGAAATAACAAAAGTTCATTGGATTCCTTCTGAAAATGTTAGTGCTTTTGTATAGAAGTACGATTAGACTATGATCTTTATCTACTGATAAATTTCATAAACACCATTACCTTTGATATGATGAATATAGACATGGATAAAATTAGCAACATAATAGCTTCAGTCACAACAAACTAATGTACACTTGCAAGTTACAGCTGTTTATAAGAATCCACAAGAACATTGCAGTCTTCAAAAGGATTCAGAAAACCTGGAGCTGTCTTTAGTTGTTATTTTATAGCCCAGTGTTAATTATTAAGGAAGGGTGGACATGCTTCAAATTATTGGCAGAAATGCACACTGCTTTATAGCAGTCAGAGCTGATTTTTAGCTTCATGTGAGGATGTTTGTAAATAAATATCAAAAATACTTCAATGACAGAGTTACAGAAGATGCCTGAACTTTTAAAGATTCTTTGGCTACCATATTGACGAAAGCTTTTTGTAAAATAGTTTTTAAAGCAAGTGTTCTTTAAAAGTTCTGACATCTTGTGTACTGAGTCAAGGAGATAGCGTGCACTAGCTCAGCCCAGTATATGGAGAAAGATTTGACTGATTTGCTGAAAAATGAAGGAATATAAATGATGAAATATTAAGTCTGAAATATTAAATGCTCCAAAAGGAAGCCCTTTTTAGTAGTCTCTGAATGAAGGTGCCAATGTATACAGTAGTCCTTAAATGACCTAAGAAGAATTACACAGATAGTCCTCAGTTTATAACTGTTCATTTAACAACCATTACAATGGCCTCAGAAAAAGTGACCTACAAGCCAACCTTGAAGACTGTCACACCATCTGGCTGGTATTTACAACAGTTGCAACATATTGTTATCATGATTTGTAATCTACTCAGCAGGCTTACAAAATCAAAATCAATTGTGAAAGCCAGATTTACTCAACAACCATATATACTCAGGGATGGGATTCAAAAATCCCAGCAACTGGTTCGCTGCCTGGTTGCTGGGTGGGCATGGCCATGGTGAGCGTGGCCTACCGGAACTTCCGGGAGGGCCGTTTTTCACCTTCCTCAGGGTCCAGAGGCTTCTCTTGGGCCTCTGGGGGTGTGAAAATGGCCTCCTCCAGGCTCCAGAGGCCCACCGGAAGCTGGAAACAAGCCTGTTTCTGGGCTTCTGGAACTTCTGGTTCAGCCTGTTTTTCACCCTTTCAAAGCCTCCGTGCGGGCCCTGCACTTACCTGCATCCAAAATGGGCCAAATAGAGACTCCTGGGAGGGAAGGGGAGGGGTGGGCAGGGTGGGGCCAGCTGGTCAGTTCAACTACCAGTTCGGCGAACCAGGTATAAATTTAACATCCGGTTTGCACGAACTGGTCTGAAGCGGTAGAATCCCACCCCTGTATATACTTAACAACCATAGTAAAAACTATAGTAAAAACTGTCATAAAATTGGAACCATAATAAAAATAGTTATAAAATTCATGTGATCACTTGCTTAACAATTGCATCACTTAATGACCAAAGTTTCAGTCCCAATTGTGGCTGTAAGTCAAGGACTACCATTATCTGATGATGTGAAATCTTCATTTTTGTGGTGTTTCAAATTGGATTTTTAGTTTTATTTATTTTTTATTTTTATTTGTTCCTCTTTCATTTATTTGGTGATGAGATAAAATTTTATGTATTTCTTGATATAACAATTATAACTATCAGGGCTCCAACAAATCCCCCTCATTCAAAGCAAAAGTCTCTAGCCACATCTCAGAAAAAGTAAATTGGTTTATTAGAAATTGCCATGTTGGTGTGTGATTGGGTGTAGCCAGTACTAAATCACATCATACATTTCCCCCTTGACCCTGGTCTTTCCCCCACCCCCTGGATGTGACTTCTCCAATAGGACACATCAGTCTCCAAGAGTCATCCATCATGCTCTCCAATAACCTTCTTATGCTGCGACAACTTTGGGCTGCTGAGTTGATATTTAGGCATTTCAAGAATGCCTTGTTTTGGCCTTCCAGTTTGAGCTTCTTTGGCGACAGACAGAAATCCACGATCGTGCGCAGTTTCGGTCTGGGCTCGCTGCTGGAGTGCCCCGAGCCGGCTGGTTTCGGGGCTAAGCCACCCCGTAGAGGTGGTGAAGAGGGGGGAGACTGCCAGCAGGGTTGAGGAGAGCCGCATCTCTCCTCCTCAGCTGGCTATTACTCCCTTTCCCGAAGGCGGTTGCAGCGGTGGTCAGAAATGGCCACCTCAAAGAAGAACTCGACCAGAAAAGAATGTGTAGGAGGAAGATAAGAAGTGAAAGTTTTGGCTGACCGGGTTAAATTGCAAAAGCAACAACTAAGGTACCCTGGAATTTAAACTAAAAAAAAATAACATCGTTCCCAAAGAAGAGTCTGAAGCAGCGAAGGAA